GGGAGGGCCTATGGGCCATAACAACCAGTTGACAAATCAACACAGGGCAAACCCTCCAAGCCTGGAGGCACACCAATCCTGAGCCTGTGCGTACCCCTAGACACTCCCCTTATGCTGCCCTATAAGATCTCTACCCAGACTCTTCGAGCCGTCTTTCCTAGCCATCCGCCATGATGGACGGATGAAAGACCGGAGCTAACATGGGGTTAGCTCATTAAACAACAACAAGGCCTCGTGCAGTTTGCATCAAAAAAAAAAAAAAGAAAGAAAGAAAGAAAAAAAAAAAAGAAACTGTAGTTGAAGGAACCGGCTTCCCTTTTGGCAGCCATAACAGCCGAACACGTGCTTGCCATAAACCTGCCTTGGTCACTTAGAAATCAGATGCCTACCTCGTGACAAGGAAACAATCAGAAGTGAGTCACTAGAAAGTCAGATGCCTGCCTTGTGACAAGGAACCAATCAGAAGTTAGCTGGTGGTGCTATGCTTTACGACCCTGGATGTGCTTTACGGACAAGCGCACAGCAATGACGTAGAGAGCATAGCAACCACCCTGGGAGGGCCTATGGGCCAAAGCAACCAATTGGCCAATCAACACAGGACAAGCCCTCCAATCTTGGAGGCACACCAATCCTGAGCCTGTGTGTACCCCTAGACACTCCCCTTATGCTGGCCTACAAGATATCTAGGCAACCAGTTCTTGCCATGGTGGATGGGTCAAAGACCCCAGCTAACATGGGGTTAGCTCGTTAAATTACAATAAAGCCTCGTGCAGTTTGCAGCAAGCTCTCGAATCCGCCTGGTGATTGGGGTGACCGAGAACGTGGCCTGGGACCCCGGATACTTGAGTTTTCGGGGGTCTAACAGTAGCCAGAGTCAAAAGGCATTAAGCCAACTCCTAAGAGTAGGACAATGATTTAATATGAAACCAAATGGCATCATTCTATTTATTTATTATTTATTGAGACAGTCTTTTGTAATTCAGGACAGCCTTGAACTACTGTGTAGCCAAGGATGACTTTGAATTTTTTATCCTCCTGCCTCCATCTTCCAAATGCTGGGATTACAGGCCTGTGGCACCACACCTGACTTATATAGCATTGGGGATTGAACCTAGGGCTTTGTACATGCTAGACAGGCACTCTGCCAACTAAGATTTTGGACTTGCTGAAAAAACTGATTTGTAGACTGGCTAGGACTCTTCCCATATAAACCTGCAGGAAGTCACTGGAGGACAACTTTGCAGTTGGCACATACAGGCCTGACAGCTGCTCAGCACTGATTACTGAGGGCAAAAGAGACACGAAGGAACCCCTTCCCCTCAGGGCTTCTAATCCAAAACAGGAGAGATTTTCTCCTGTCATTGGGTCCTTATTTGGGGGATGCTAGCCCATATCCCCCCCATAAGCAAAGAGTCTTGGCCAATTTAAGTTTATCTTGAATCTTTGGGACATGAATCAGGGCTGTCCACACCAGGTCATGGGAATGAACTTCGAAGGGAAACCCTTTATCTCCACCAGTTCCTTACCACATCTATTTATCTCCTGGATGCAATGTGTTACAAATTACTAACAATTTGCTTACTAGGAAAACATGATTTCCATGCACCAAAAGAACTACACAGATCCCAGCAAACAGATGGGATGTACCACCATGAACAGGCTGCATGGGACAGGCTGAGAGTATTTGGAAATAATAATGCTTTTTTCAATAAATAGTGTTAGTATTTAGGCATTTGTACTGGCCCGGACTTGGAGGTGACAGGATACGCCCTCAGCTGCAGCCACTAAGAGTGCCACCTGTGCACATTCACTATGTTCCCTTTTAAAAGGGCCCTGCCCACCTCCCATCTTCCTGTCTTTCTCTCCCCAGAGGCCAGTCTCCAGCATCCCCTTCCCCCCTTTTACGATCCCTTTCCCCTAATAAAAACCCCTCCACTTGAACTCCATCGAATGGCATCTTTCTCTTGTGCCACTTTTTTGAAATTACAATCAATAGGATTCTGACTTAGGAATGTGGAGGAAGGCAAACATTAGGAGAATATAGGATGGGCAAGAGAAATGGCTCCTGTCAGGTTTGTTGGCTTACTGGATCAAACACCCCCTAAAAATCCAGAGGTCAGAAAACAGCTTAACAGAAATGAGCTGGGCGCACAACTGTAAAAATGACTTTTGATACCGAACAAGTCATTCAGTATGAGTATCCTGTGAAATGAGAAGATAGGCTTCAACTAAAATGGCTAACAATCTCTAGACGGTGTAGAACCTGTCTCCTAGGGCATTTGTGAGGCATAAGCAGTGATACAGGGGGGGTGCACGGCCATTGTCTGGCACACAGTAAGCCTGTAGTAATTAGTCATTCTTTGATTTCTAAAACAACCTTGAAATGAAAGCTACTGGCTTTGTACAACAGAGGAAGCCACTAGGGGGCAGAACCAAAGTCCATGATGTTCTTACTGTATGGTTTGGCATAGGTGGTTTGGCTTAGAAGGACCCAGCAGCCCTCACTGTAAAGTTAAGTCCTAACAAGAGAAAAACAGTTGCTAAGCGAATGTAGGAGTGTCTCCTTGATGATGAATGTAAGGTTGGAGAAGTGTCTGGGACAAAGCTACAGAAGTATCTTTGTTCAAATTCATGTCTTCCTGTCATCTGTCAGTGTTGGAGATTCCAAAGACACCATCTGTGTAGACAGGGGAAAGCCAGTGTTCTACAAGAGCAAAATCAAATGAAAGCCAATCCTCCCCTGGACATTCATTCACTGCAGGAAGAAGAAACATTGAAGGTTGAAACTCCTGGGGAAGTGGCTTTTGGGCAGATGAATTCTCATTCTCTGTGCTCATGGGACTCTGTCCAAATAGTTCTGTCAGTGCTCAGTGGGTTCCCAATTACTATTCTTTTGTTTGCTTAAGTAATTAATTGTTTTTCGAGACAGGGTTTCTCTGTGTAACAGTCCTGGCTGTCTTGGAACTCACTCTATAGACCAGGTTGGCCTTGAACTCACAGAGATCCACTTGCTTCTGCCTCCCAAGTGCTGGGATTAAAGGCATGCACCATCACCACCAGGTGAGATGAACATGATTTACAAAGATTAGTTTGAGAAAGGATTAGAGTGGGCTGAGTCTGGAGGTTAATGTGGGAAATTACCAATATGGAGTCAGGTGAAATACAAGGGAATTTAATATGGAAAAGCCTTACTTACAGAGCGACCTAGCCAGCCGGCGGGGCAGCAGTAAGTATAGCAAGCCGAAGATGAAAACTAAAGCATGATGAAAACTAAGTATCCCTCACTCTTAAACTTTCCCTACGTCACCCTGACCACGCCCTTGAAGGCATAGTCAGGCACACCAGTAGCCAGCCCCTAAGCAGGCGTGGCTACAACATCTCCTACAGGAGGTAGACTCACCTTGGGGCAGTGAGCAGTGAGAAAGGAGAGTGGAGTTATAGTCATTGTAGAGATCCAAAGTGGAACCACGGCTGAAAGCTGAGTCTCTGGTGTGGACAGCTAGGTGGAGGTGTGAACATTAGCTCAAAGCAGGAGAGAAGGCTGGGTACCAAGTATGCTTAGATATGCTGTGTTCATTGAGGCAGCCCAAACTTAAGACCAACACTTGTCCAAAACGAAGGAGAGGTCCAAGTCAGGAGGAAAATTAGAGCATGCCACAGGAGGGATGGCGAGGACCTCTGTCTGCTTTCTGGACGGGGTCTTGCCGTGTAGCTGAAGCTAAGCTTAAAGTTTCCAGTGCCCAGCTTCAGTCTCCTACTGGGATAAAAGGACCTGGTTCACAAAAAGGAGTTGTAAAAGACAGGGATCCTTTATCTACATATGTGAAGAGGGACTGGATTCTAGATCTGGTCCAGTCTCTGAAACCAAACCACCTTGTTACTTAGTCCAACTAGCCTTTCATCGTAGAAAGGTGAGACCCAGGAACATCTAGGTGGGAATAGTTCCACCTTTCCCTTTCCATTGCTTCTACAGAGGCCCCCAACTTCTAGCTTGTATCTGATCCCCGTGACTTTATTCTGCTGTCAGCTTCCAGCAGTATATATTTCCCAGGAAATCTAGGGAAAAAGCAAATCCACCAGGAAATAGTCACATGATACTTGTCCAAGTGACCATTGCACTTTGCAACCTGCACATTAAAGCCACCATCAGTTCAATACTCCAAGGTACTACCTAATGAGAATCTGTGCTGACTTCTTCCTTAAGCAGGCTAGCGAATATACTGCCTCTTCCCAAATCACTCTTTTGGATGATGGTATCCTCAAGACACTTCTTTTCTCGGTCATTTCATGTATTAAGGGAAATGTAAGAGATAACTGTCTGAAATGCAAGCAACATTGGAACTCGAACAGGAAGGGCATAGCTAATGAGAAGCTAGGAAATTAGATAATTTCTTTTATAGAATCAGCTGATACTGAGGAAACAGGGAATTTACAAAGGAGGGGACACAATGAAATTAACTATGTGGAACGATCCTTGAGAATCAGTAACCTTTAGACCTGGACCTAACAGGACTGGATAGATGAGTGCATTAGGGCTGACCTCTCTAGAGGTTTATATATTCATTTACCTCCATATCTGGGCTGGAGATATAGTTCATAGCTCAGTGGTAGAACACTTGTATAGCTGCAGAAAACCCTGGGCTCAATTTCCAGCACTGCAACAGAGTTCTTCAAAGATCGTCTCCTAAGTTTAAGTCAAAGAATCAAAGCCCTCCCTTCCTAAAAGCTGGGGTTATTAGCAGGTGCCACCAAGCTTATTAGCTTATGGTGGTGGCATCAGATCCATTAAAAACAAAACAAAAAAACAGGTTGAAAAAATAAATCAAGTGTACTTAGGAGGCAGACAGGTAGATCTCTGTTGAGTTTGAGGCCAGCCTGGTCTCCATAGTGAGTTCCAGGACAGCCAGGGCTACATACAGTGAGACGCTGTCTCAAAAATACAAAACAAAACAAAAATAACAAAAAGAGAGAAAGAAGAAAGAAAAGCCAATCAATTAAAGTCTTGTTGATCTGGAGATTTTAACATATTTATTTGAAAACCAAATTCTGTGAAAGAGCACACTAAACAGTCATGTTATCTTCTTCTCAACCAAAGACTCGGGACACAGGTTCTGTAGGTCAGCATAGCAATGATGCGTGCATCGAGTAGGTCTAGTGTGGGTTCCCTCACAGACATCGCAGTATGTGCCAGGATAGACATCTTCAGCTGAGAATGTGAAATCCTGGGAAAGAGAAAGTGGCAGAAGTTGATATTGTTCATTATTCCCAAACTTTAAAAAAAATTACTAGTTGAAATCTAAACCCAGCTCCACTCAGCATCTGCAGCCCTGTTATGCCAGATTCCTAATGAGTATTCCACCCTTTAAAAAAACTCCTAAGAGGTCAATGTCTAGCTGTGTCCTGAATTATACAACCTGGCTGGTCTCAGCAAGACATTACAGCATGAGCATGCTGGGCAGGTAAAGGGGAAAGAGAGATGGGGGGAGAGAGGAGGGGAGAGGGAGAGGGAGAGGGAGAGGGAGAGGGAGAGGGAGAGGAGAGAAGGAGAGGAGAAAGAGGGAGAGAGGGAGAGGGAGAGGGAGGGGGAGAGGGAGAGGAAGGGGGAGAGAGAGAGGGAGAGAGAGAGACCTAATACAAACCTTCCACTCTACGATTCGGTCTCTGAGGGGGGAGAGGGAGAGGAAGAGGGAGAGGGAGAGGGAGAGGGAGAGAGAGACCTAATACAAACCTTCCACTCTACGATTCGGTCTCTGAGGCAGGGTTTTATTTTATAATGGCAGGGTTTCTGTCTTCAATTGCTAATCTCTGTATGCCCTGGTGCTAGATTTGTAACTTGTCTGTTCTGTGTATGTTGCTGACTCAGGACCTTGTGTGGCGCCAAAACAAATCTCTATCACTGAGCTATATCCCCAGCCCTTAATGTATTTCTTATACTACTGTAGCAAATGATAGCTCCTATTTTCTTTCTTTACAGAAGTTATTTGTTTTGTGTGGGTCTATATTATGTGTGCACAACATGCCTGTGGAGGTCATCGGACTACATTTGGAAGTCCCTCCTCTCATCCCACCTCGTGGGCCTCAGGGATTGAACTCAGGCTGTCAGGCTTGGTGGCAAGCACATTTAGCTCTGAGCATCTCCCTGACCTCCTACTTTCTTTAGAGTAAAACAAATTCATATTTTTCTGAAAATGTCTGTTACGTTAGTGAAACTAAAGAAATCATTACATATCTTTTATGTGTTTTCAGATATGTGATGATTATAAAAAATGAGGGAATTAAAATAGTGAGTTTCTGTAATTACAATTATTTCAAGTTTCACAAGCTAAGGATCCCCTTATTTTTTTAAAAGAATAATTTAATTTTTTTATTTCATGTGCATTGTTGTTTTGCTGGCATGTATGTCCGTGTGAAGATGTCAGGTCCCTTGGAACTGGAGCTACAGGCAGTTGGGAGCTGTCATGTGGGTGCTGAAAATTGAACTTTATGTTCTCTGCAGAAGTAGGCAGTGCTCTTAACTACGGAGCCATTTCTCCAGCCACCCCTCCCCTCTCCACCTTAGTTTTAAACAACTAGCATAATCATTTTTTAACAACCAGAGAAGTGTCTGTGGTATGGTTTGACCCCAGGTTCTTTTTTTTTTTTTTTTGGTTTTTCCAGGTAGGCTTTCTCTGTGTAGCTTTGGAGCCTGGCCTGGCCTGTAGGCCTGGCTAGCCTCAAACTCACAGAGATTCCCCTGCCTCTCCCGTCACAGTGCTGGGATTAATGGTGTGCACCACCACCAACTGGTGACCCCAGGGTCTTTATAGGGTACCGTTTCTAAGGACATCAGATGTCTTAAAGCTCCACCAAATACGTGAAAGGGGCATTAGTAGAAAGCCTATGCCTATACACGGCTGTAATCCCAGTGCTCAGGACAGTTGGATCTCTGTGAGTTCGAGGCCAGCATGATCTATAGTGAGATCCAGGACTGCCAGGGCTACAGAGAACCTGTCTGAAAAGAACAGGGCATGGCCTATGAATGACTAATTATGACTGCTCTCCCCAAGAAGCTTACAAGAGTACACATCGATTCTAGTCCCTTTATCACCAAGAACATCCCAGCTGTTCTGCTGGGGAACAAGAAGCACCTTGTTATATAGCCAATTCTGGCCTTGAAATTCCTGTGTTGGTTTATGGGTATATGCCACCATGCCTAGCTTTGTTTAGCTATTTTTAAGAAGACTTTCGCCAAGCGGTGGTGGCACACGCCTTTAATGCCAGCACTCGGGAGGCAAAGGCAGGTGGATCTCTGTGAGTTTGAGGCCAGCCTGGTCTACAAGAGCTAGTTCCAGGACAGCCTCCAAAGCCACAGAGAAACCCTGTCTCAAACCCCCTTCCCCCCAGAAGATTTTCTTCTGGGGCCAGCTCCCTATCTCCTTCAGGCTTAAGAACAGTCTGCAGACTACTGGCGTTGAGGAGCCGGCAGAGCGTTACAGAAAAATGCACATGTAGTCCATGTGCATGGGTTGAGAAGCTTTAAAGCTATTTGGGTAAAAAAGGAACAAACAGGAGACTGACGAATACTTACCCTTGGTCCTTAATCATCAATATACTCAAATGGCTCTGGGGGCTCTGGCTCTTGTTCCTCCTCTTCAATTTTCGGGCCGTGTGCTGCCACAGGTTCAACAAGTTCTTCAATGTCTTCACTGGTGTCTTTCAGAATTATGATGCCTCCAATGGAGAGCTGTACACACACACGGGCAGAGGAAAACAGTAAGTGCCACTCACATTTCACAATGCTCTGCCATCTAGAGTGGGTCCTTGTTAAATGGGCTCTCAAACACTTGCTGCGCCAGGTAAAGGCTGAGGGAGAATTACATTAGTGTAAAAAACTCCTATCCAGGGGCTGGAGAGATGGCTCAGAGGTTAAGAGCACCAACTGCTCTTCCAGAGGTCCTGAGTTCAATTCCCAGCAACCACATGGTAGCTCACAACCATCCGCTATGAGATCTGGTGCCCTCTTCTGGTGTGCAGATATACATGGAAACAGAATGTTGTATACATAATAAATTAAATCTTAAAAAACAAAAACAAAAACAAAAAAGCCTCCTATCCAGGGAGGACTGCCAACTTAACCCAGTGCACGGTGGGCCACGTGACACTGCTCTATGTGGATGTTGCATCCCAACTCAAGAAGTGCTTCCCAGACAAAGAAATGATTATTAGCCTAGATCTGACTATGGGTAGAATGTTTACTGTCCCTACATAGCACTCGGCTACCTTCCTACCCTACTCAAGAAAGTGGTCTTGGATCAGCAACTTTATTACCACTTGAGAGCTTGTTTAAAACATGGGAAAGCTAGCCCCAACCTGAAGACCACCTCCTGGAAACTTTTAAAAAGATTTTTTGCTTTTATTTATGTGTATAGGTGTTTTGTCTGCATGAATGGCTGTGCACCAGGTGTGTGTAATAGCTGAGGAGGTTAGAAGAGGGCACGGAATTCTCTGAAACTGGAGTTACCGGTGGCACTGTGAGCTGCCATGTGAGTTTGGGGAACAGAACAGAATTCTCTACAAGAGTAACAAGTACCCCTAGATCTTTGATGTGAATGTATATTATAGTTTTTTGTTGTGCTCTCACACACACATAAATGGCTGAACTATCTCCCCAGCCCAGTATTACAGTTTTGAAGCATTCTAGTCTATTTGTGTGATTCAAGAAAATTTACAAATAAAAGGTTGTTTTTTCTTCCAGCAATTCCAGAATGCCAGAGAAAATAATAAATGCAACATATATCTGAGTGTTTTCACTGTAAACTAGAAACCACTGTGATGTAAGTAATGAGAAACCAGATGGAAAGACAAAGGAAAGTAGTAGCAATTCTATTAAGCCCTCTCTCAGCCTATTAGCTGATTCAAACGCCAAACTAGTCAACCATTTCTGGTATGCTAATCTTATTCTATTTGCTTGTCTGTGTCAAAGGAAATGGAAAACTGCTCTCTGTAATCGAATCAGTCAACAGTGGCAAGGCACATCTGGAAAAAGCACACTTCTACAAAGCACGTTACAGGGAAGGGAAGAAGCATAAGACATCAGTCAAAGGACTCACGTGGGTCAGTATCTCTGCAGCTGAACCTAATCTGATTTTACTCATCAAGACTCTGCCCTGCCATGCTGTAAAACTGGTGTGCCTTCAAGAATTTCTAGACTACGCACAGCAAAGAATCTACAGCTCTCTCCCTTAAGAAGTTGCTTTTCTTGCAAAGAATGCATTCTATGAATGGATTCTGCCTTAACTACCAATAGCCCAAGAACAACAGAGAATATGACCACTGCCCTCATTTTCCATGGCCTAAAAGTTTATGTGAATTCCTAATGGAGTAAATGGAGATGAACCTCCAAGCAGAATAAAATATCCACTCAGAAGAGATCTCCAAGTTTCTGGAAACCTGTAACTATGGGTTCTAACTTCTACTATATGCTCATCAGAGCTAAATGATCTCACTCTCACTCTGCAACACAATCCACACATCTAAAGAGCTGCTTATAGCCGTATCTCATTTTAGGTTAATGCTTCCCATGCTGGCAAAAAAGTTCATTTGCTAAGGAGAAGGTAATATATTCTGCTGAAGACTAGGCTGGCCTTTGCCTCTCAAGTGATGGGATCAAATGTGTGTGCCAGCACACTGGGCTACATATTAATGTCTTTGATCTGTGCCTATTAGTTGAGATAATTCTATTTTACAAATGGAAGAAACAGAAAGAAACATTTAGCACTTGGACCAAGGTCACAAAGCCTAGGAAGGAAGATTAAACTCAACCCAGTATCTGGCTTTGTAGTTATGTGCCTCAATTTGTGACAGAAGAGAGAATATAGTTCTTAGGAATTACGATAGCAGGTGGTGGCAGTGTACACCTTTAATTACAGCACTTGGGCGGCAGGGTTGGGGAGCTCTGTGAGTTTGAAGCCAGCCTGTTCTATAAAGTGAGTTCCAGGACAGCCAGGGCTATTATATAGAGAAGCCCTGCCTTGAACCCTACCTCCTCTCCCCCCTCCCCCCAAAATTTACTAGAGAAAAGAAAAGCTCTCCAAAAATATCTATGAGGCTGAGGGAATGTTTTTTGTTTTTCCAGGAGCATGTGCTTTTCTTTTTTTTAAGGTATTAGTTACCTTGCTCTGAAATACTTTGGGGATTTCTCCTCTTCTGCCAGTCTTACCTAGTCCTCCAGATTAACACCCCACCAGCAAATACAGCTAAGAGTCATTGCCAGGAGCATGTGCTTTTTTTTTTTAAGGTATTAGTTACCTTGCTCTAAAATACTTTGGGGATTTATCCTCTTCTGCCAGTCCTCCCTAGTCCTCCAGATTAACACCCCACCAGCAAATACAGCTAAGAGTCATTGGTAACTTACTGGTTTGAAAGGCTGGTATCTGCAGGTCTCTGTCATGGTTAAGACCTTTAGCTGGGCAGGCATAACTCGTGCTGGATTATCCAACAGCTGGAAGTTTGGTTCAGGTTCTTTTTTCTTCTCTTTCTCTTCCTTCTTTTCTGCTTCATCCTAGGATGAGAGGAAAGCCATCAATAAAGGGTCACTTTTGTCCCACATCTGCTAAGTCTGTAGGCCACTGTCGGGTACAAAAGGCAGTGACAGGTACAAAGTACAGCTAAGATGATACCAGACTCTACTCAGGGTGGTATGAATTGTTTTAAAGATGACAAGGGCATTCTACCAACAGAGATCAGAAAAGTGAGTCTATTTAAACAGATCATCGTCCATCTTCCTGAAAGTCTCGCTTTTTTTTTCCGAGTCACTGTCTACTCAGAACTTTGTTCTACAAAGCCTACTTTAGCTGTAACTTTCTCTCTGAACTCATTCCTGTTCTGTATTGGTCTACCTTCCCACAAAAGGACACTGTTTTGGTGGGAATGTGAAATATCCTCTGTAAGCTCATGTATGTGAACATCTGGGAGCTTTCTGAATATGGGGCCTCACTGCTGAAGGGGTGGGCCTATGGGGTGTGGAGTGGCTCTGCTCTGCTCTGCTGCCAGCTTGAACTCTCTGCTTCCTGATCAAAACATGAACAAGCCATGTTACACACTCCCACTGTCAAAGATGACGCCCCAGCCACCATCCCTCACCCCTTAAAACCATGAGCCCAAACCTTCTTCTCTCTGAAGTTGTTACAGCAACAAGAAAAGCTAATACAAACATGGTTTTCTAGAGTTTCTTTCTAACATAATGATGTGATTCTGTATGCTGGAAGCTGGATAATTAATTGAAAAAGCTCAGCACAAAGTACAACAGTGTTAAAGAAATCTGGACCACAACAGGTATTAACAAGAGATCTATACCCACCACTTCCATCTTCTCTTCTTCCTTTTTTTCTTTTTCTTTTTCCTTTTTTTTAGCTTTGGCAGTAATAGACAACACAGCAGTGGAGACCTAGAATCAGTCAAAATGGCAACTGTTATAATCTCTTCCCTACATACTAAGAAACAAGCCCAAGGAAACAGTCCTGCAGTGTGTCCCTGTTTTCCCCACACAAGCATCATGAAAGGGTTGCTTTTTGTATTGATTATAACACCATAGCCAGTGCAGCTCTGTAAACAACAAAACTACTGGAGAGTAATGGGAAAGCAAGCAGGACATTAAGTAAGATACACCATTGCTGCTACTATCATCTTTAGCTACTGGAGCTGTGTCCTAAACAACCACTGTCTTGTGATCTGCCTTGGGTGTCAATTTGCCTTCATCTACTTCTGAGGCACAGACTTGTTGGCTTTATGGGGAAAGCACTGGAAAATTCTGGGTCATAGAGATGTTCTTACAACTAGAAACCTTAATGGTAATACACAATAGCTATGAGTGGTCTTTCTTGATGAATCTCACTTGAAATTAAGGGGGAAATAAAACTTTGAAAATGGAGTAATAAATGCATTGTGAAAGGATATTCATTGGTTGCTATCTTGAATGTGGTCAGTTGTAAAATTAACTCTACTTATACAGAAAACGTAAAGCAAAATCAACAAATACTTAATATGAAACATTATCTTAACGTAAGGAGCAATTTTCCCCACATAAGCATCATGAAAAGCTTGCTTGTTTTTGGTAATACACATGAAAATAAATAATATGAGTTACATTTTTTTTTTCTCCCCGAGACAGGGTTTCTGTGTAACAGCCTTGGCATCCTGGAACTTGCTTTGTAGAGCAGGCTGAACTCAAACTCACAGAGATCTGCCTGTCTCTGCCTCCTGTATGCTGGGATTAAAGGCAGGTGCCACCGATGTCTGACAATATGAGTTACTTTTGACCACACAATTCCACACCTACTATTCTAAGTGACAGATAAAACTACACAAGAACACAAATATGTATATAAACACTTTTATTGTAGCCTCATCTGCAGTATATCAAATAAAAAAAGTCCTTAAATGTACACCAGATAAAAGGATCAGCACTTAGAAAATGCTGGTGTTTTGGTTTAAGAGGTACTGACAAAGAGAACAGAGCAAACTCTTGCACATTGTAACTCTTGTGCCATGGGCTGGGATACCAAGAAAGGAAAAGGCTCTTTCCTTTATATTTAAGTCTAATGTTAGCCATCACCTCAAGTTTGCTTTTAAAAAACCCAACAAGGCTAGGGTTGGAGAGATGGCTCAGCAGCTAAGAGCACATGCTACTCTTCCAGAGGACTTGAGCTTGGGTCCCAGCATCCATGCCAGGCAGATCGGCTGACAACTTACTGTAACTCCAACTCCAGAAGGGATTGATGCTGGTTTCTAGTCTTTAAGGGCCCTAGTGCTCAAATGTGCACACGCGCACGCGCACACACACACACACACACACACACACACACACACACACACACACACACACACACACAC